GCCTGGTTTGTTCCCTGGCTGCGGCTTGCCCTGGCCGTGACCTTGGCCCTGGGTAGGCGCATTGTTACGTCTCCGCCTGTTATCCCTGCCACAACGGCGGTACGGTTCGTGCCGAGGGCGAGAGTGGTACTGCCTCTGTGGAGGCTACGGTTTAAAGGGCTTGCGCTGTGTCACCGGGGTATGCATACCCAATGACTTAAGGGTTGCTCGCGAGTCCTTCAGGCTATGTAGCCTGGCGTCCGTTTGGTCGGAGAACAAGCCCGAACCTTCAATCTGGAGGTCCTGCAGTATGGTCTGCACCTCTGGCGGAAGGCCTGAAGCCTGTAACCATGCCGAACGCCTCATCACTACCTCTGACGCGATTGTTCTAGCCGCTGCGTCGGCTGAGTCGAGGGAGGCCTGCAATGAGGTCTTGGCCACCGCCATACCCTCGTCCACCAGGGCCGTGAACTCAGGATGTGCGTCCGGTGGTAGGGAGTCCTTAAACTTGGAGACTGATGCCCAAGAGTTAAAACTGTGTTTATTTAGAATCGCCTGCTGATTAGCGATCCTCAGCTGAAGGCCCCCAGATGAATAGACTTTCCTCCCGAACAAGTCTAATCGCTTTGCTTCCTTGCCCTTGGGCGCAGGGGCTTGCTTGCCATGACGCTCTCGCTCGTTGACCGCCGAGACCACCAGCGAACAAGGAGACGGGTGCAAAAAGAGGAAGTCAAATCCTCTAGATGGGGCTAAGTATTTCCTCTCCACACCTCTTGCAGTCGGTGCACTGGAGGCCGGCGTTTGCCACACCGTCTTATAGTTGGACTGGACTGTCCGTATAATCGGGAGAGCGAATCTGGAGGGCCCCTCCGGGCTCAGGATATCGACCATGGGGTCCTCCTGTTCTACAGTCTCCTCCGCCTGCAAGCCCAGATTGAGGGCTACCCGGCGAAGCAGGTCTTGGTGCGCCCGATGGTCAATCGGGGGAGGGCCAGACACTGTCGTGCCCGCTACTGCCTCATCCGGCGAGGAGGAAGAGGTCGGGGCCTTCTGCCCATCCTCATCTTCCTGCAACCCGGCGTCGACCGGTTGCTCCTCTGGGGCCTGACCCATGGTGTGGGACTGGGACGGTACCGTGCTCGGTGCCGAGTCCACTCCCTCCCGCTCCTGCGGTCTAGAGACCGTTGCCTCCTTATGAGATGGCGGGCGGTACCGCGGGGAGCGGGAGCGGTACCCTGATGGCCCGGATCTCGAGGTCCTAGATGGGGGCCCTTGTTGATGGTATGTCCAGAATGGCCATTGGCTCGGTTGGCCCCACTGGGGATGGCCACAGGCTTCGTGATCCCTGCTAGCCTGCGCCCTATGGGCATACCCGCCGTACCGGCCCGAGTCAGTCTCCGACACCACGGACGGTGACCTGGAAGCCATAGGACGGTGCCGGTCCGGGTTTGGGGAGTAGCGCCTCCGCGACCAGGACCTGGAGCAGCGTCTCGTCGACCTGGACCTGGATCGGTACCGGTGATCGCGGGACCGGGAACGGCTACGGCTGGTCGGTCTCAGGTAATGTACCGCCGTTGAAGCCCGACTGCTGCGGTGCTTTCTGCGCCGAGGGCAACCGGGAGTCCACCGAGGCGGAGCTCGACCGTGACCGGTGCCTTGAACGGTGCCGAGATGGCGACCGTGATGGGCGCACCATCGCCAGCTTGCCTCTGTGTGGCAGCTTCGGCGGAGTGTCCTCAGTTCGTGGAGGGGCCTCAACGGACAATGCAATGAGGTCCTTAGCTGCCTCAAATGTGTCCGGAGTGGAGGGCTGTTCCAAGAGCTCCTCCAGCCCTTCATCTTCACTCGACGCGCCTATCCCGGGGTTCGACGGGCCTTTCGGCGCCGGAGCCACTACCGGGGTCTGTGCCGGGGCCGTGCCGGCCTTAGGCGCACTCGAGGTCTTCACCGGCGCCGCCCTCTTATGCGGGGAGCGTCCTCGGGCCTTCGGTTGGCCCTTCGATTTTGCCGGCGAAGACGACCGGTGTCGTACATGCCCCCGTTGGGTCGGTGCCGTGGGCTTCGGGTGACCCGCCGGCGCCGGTTCCCGCACCGATGCCGGGGCGCTCCGCACCGAGGCAGACGGTGCCGCCGAAGTGTAGGGCTGCAATGCCGTCTCCATGAGCAGCTG